CTCTATATGCCGTTCGGCCTTAAAAATGCTACACAGACTTTCCAAAGCTTTATAGATAACATTTTCCGTGGCATCGATTTCGTTTATTGTTACATTGACGATATTCTGATAATGTCCAGTTCCTTTGAGGAACACGAAAAACATCTGCGTACCGTTATGGAGATCCTTCGTAGCCACGGACTTCGCATAAACATAAGCAAGTGTCAATTGGCCCAGATAGAGGTGAATTTTCTAAGCTATACCATTAACGAGCACGGAATCAAACCTCCTAGTAATCGGGTAGAGGAAATAAAAAACTATACGAGGCCTTCTACAATCAACGAACTAGGAAGATTCCTCGGCATAGTAACTTATTATCGGAGATGCCTGCCTCGTCCGTCACACATCCAGGCTCCTCTTTCAGAACTTCTTAGGAACGTCAAGAAAAACGACCAACGCCCGATCGAATGGACGAGAACGAGTTGCCGCTTACGATTCTTGTAAACAAAGCGTCATGGATGCGGTACTACTGGCTCATCCCTTTCCAAAAGCACAACTGGCTCTCGTATGTGATGCTTCTGATGTCGCAATCGGAGCTGCACTAGAACAGCTGGTCAATGGTCATTGGCAGCCTCTTGGTTTTTCTCAAAAAAATTAACCGAAACTGAAAAAAATTAAAGCACATACGATAGAGAGTTACTCTCCATTTATGAAGCCATCAAGTATTTCAAGCGCTGCCTTGAAGGTCGAATATTGAAAATACTGAAAAAGCGTCACCCAGGCAGTTCACGACCGAGATCATACATGTCAAGGGATCTGAAAACGTAGTCGCGGATGCATTTTCCAGACTATGTGCTATTACCATGCCTGTCTCTGTCAGCCTAAAGCAAATCGAGGAAGCGCAGGCAACCGATACTGAGCTCCCAAACTTACTGCAAGGAACTACTTCGCTTCAGCTACAAAAAATACGCTACGATGACAATGTCGCACTTTACTGCGACATATTAACAAATTATGTTCGTCCTTATGTACCCACTGCTCTTCGCAATAAAATATTCTCTTTCTTTCACAGCCTCTCACATCCGAGCGGCAGATCCACTCTGCAACAAATTAAGCAAAAATTTGTAAGGCCGGAAATGAGGAAAAACGTCATTGAGTGGTGCAGGACTTGTCTTTCTTGTCAACGTGCCAAGATAAGCAGGCATAATCATCTGACTCCAGAAATGATCACAGTTCCCAGCGACAGATTCAACCATGTTCATCTGGACATCGTCATCATGCCGTTCCATCAAAACTTTCGGTACTGCCTTACCATGATAGACATATTTACTCGCTGGCCGGAGGCTGTCCCTCTTACAAACATATCGGCTGATACGGTGGCTAAAGCTTTTTGGTCACAATGGGTTGCTCGTTTTGGAACACCCAAAACAATAACAACTGACCAAGGCACTCAATTCCAATCAGCGCTGTTCAAGGAGCTGGCCCACCTCATGGGCAGCGAACACATCCACACGACTGCTTATCACCCCCAGTCCAACGGAATGGTCGAAAGGTGGCACAGATCATTTAAGGCTGCGATGATGTACCATTCAAGCACCCCTTGGCCGGAACTGCTACCCATCGTTCTGCTTGGACTTCGTACCTGTTTAAAAGAGGACCTTAAATCATCGGCTGCGGAGATGCTATATGGAACAACAATCCGCATGCCGAATGAATTTTTTGAAGATCTCGATGTAAACGTGGATCCTGCAACCTTCATTGGCGATTTTCGTGACCTGATGCGAAAGATTCGTCCGACTCCTTCTGCGCACCACAGCAAGCAGGATGCTCAACCTGAGATCACTGTACAGCCACGAACCTACCAGAACAATCGAGTACAATTTAACGTATCGTGACGTCGTCACTGGAGAGGGAGTACTGTGGCGGCCCAAGTTAAAATACCATCTAGCGGAAAAGCTATTAACTAAGAACTTAGCTACGATATTTATTGTTATCTTTTTGATCGATATGTTCTAAGAAACACATCTCTGTCTCTCTCTTCTTCCGGTTCTCGGCTAAGCTGCACGCACGCTTTGTAACTCCTATTTGTAAACCCAAACATACATCAATAAAATAATAGTAACACCAATTCTTGTTACCATACTATATGTGGTTCTATACTCCACTACAGTAATCCTAAGCACCTTTTGTACCTTTTGTACTTATAAATACCGTTAAGATTATTAAATAATGTCAGCATAAAACTCAAACAATTAAAGAGCTATAGCTCAGCCCTAATAGCAATCAACATGGTCTGTTAGTGTGTCGTCAGATCCTTACGTTGCGTATTAACAAGTTAAATCAAATAAAAAAAGAATAGCCCGCCTTGGGATTCGAACTTCCGTTGCTCAGATTTCTGGCGTCTCTGACCCACGAGCTAAGAAGCTGGGGCGATTGCAAGTTGTGAAGTTAACAATCACTAAAATTGACAGCCGGTGACGTCGAAAAATAAAATAGTAAAATTACGATATAACATAACAAAAGGAGCAACAAAATATAACTATTTCTTTTTCTTATATTATAATTAACTTAGAAATAAACACTAATAAAAAAATTTAAAAAATTTAGAAACTAAGAAGAAAAATAAAAATATTTTTAAACATTTTATTAATAATTTGACTATAGAAATAATAACAAAATACGTAAGGATTATAAAAATGTTTTTCTTACTATTTTTATAGTAACGTTACTATTAAATACGCCAGAGAAGGAACAACAAAATACTTTAAAATGTATTACATAATACAGTAAAATTATTCAAGGTTAATTATACGATTGACAAATTTTTGGTGTGTACACACTTGGCCAATAAAGTAAAAATAAAATGAAAAAAAAAATCGTAAAATAATAAGATAACAATGAGATACTATACCGGCTAAAATTAAAATTGAACTATCGTTTTAGAGTATTGCCATTTAAATTAAAATAATCAACTTAATTAAACTCTATATTTTCGACGAAGAAATCCAAAAACTGCTAATGAACAGCCAATACTTTGTCAGAGAAAGCAAACATATAAAGAGAGTCTGATTTTTTTTATATCCCCATATTCTATTTTATAAACAATATGTGCAAGGAATCAACTAACTTTAGGGAATACGAAAATAAATCATTTGATCGGTTTGCTGCTGTTGCGCGATTTTTGTTTAACAACATTTTTGCCAGCGGGAATTCTATTCCAATTGTCCATATCTACATAACATTTTGAAAGTCATTTTTTAAATTAGGGAGTCCATCTATACTGGAAAATCAAGGTTTCACGTCCGAAAAATTTCATCGAATTAAATTTGTAAACCAGTGTTAATTGTGTTAATTATTCTCGTAAACAGCCTAACTCAAAAAAGTCACTAAACATCAACTGTGTATTTTACCTAGATCTCGAACTCTTTGTTAAAGAGTTTTTTGATAAAGTTCATATTATAGGATTGTATAAGTTAATCCAAACAATGTAATATGTGTGCAATATGTTGACTTTTCTTATTCTAAAAGTAAGCCGTCAACTAAGTCATGTTGTGGCATATGTAAAACCATGCAGCACCCCTAACCCCAGTAAATGTTCTTTTCTTCTGTCACTCTACATCAGCGATTACCACGGCCCTATCTATTGAGTTTTCTGGCGGCAGAACAGCTGCAGAGCGGCGATATAATTAACAGGGACCGAAAACAACCATTGCTTCTTAAACAAAAAAATTATAGTCACGGAATAATCCAACTATACAAGAATAATACTTATGAATTAAAGATTCAAAAGCCGACTTCATTTTTTTATTTTTCAATTATAATTTAAAACTTAAAGGATAATCTGAAAAAATAACGATTATTTGTTGAGTTATATTTTCAGCACTACAAAAATAACTTATTCCTTGAGTTTTATTTCTTTGATTTATAATAAAACTCGAACTGTAGGCTTATAAAGACAAGCCAGATATTAACTTAAAAAAGCTGATGTTTGTTTATTTGTGCAAATTTTGCACTCCGATATTTTTTTTGTCGCTTTAAATTTAAATATTTCGGAGGAATATTATTCACTTTGCGGCCCATTTTAAATTCGCGAGCTCCAAACGTACACTGAATCGCAATTGAAAAATGTTCAAGTTGTGATAGAGAAAGCTTAACTTTAATCAGGATTCCATGCATTTTTTTTATAACTAGTTATTCGAAATTATTGTAGTTCGAGTTTTATTTTAAATCAAAATAATAAAAGGCGTTACAAGAATCTGCAGTCAAATGACGAACCCCTAACTTTTATAATATCCGAAATCAGGACGTACAGGGGGACATCTCAAGACTCGGTTATAGAACCTGATCAAGGATATATATCAGAAACGCTTCTTTTTACCTGTTACAGACAATTTAACGAGTAAGTGATTGGACGTTGACCAATTTCTGGCTAACCTGGTCACATAGATTGTACTTGACTATTCGATTGGATGAACACTTTTACTAATAGTTTAATTACTTATTTTACTTTCGATAGTTCCTGAATTGTTCAATAAACAACAATATTTTTTGACTATGGGGATCATTTATTGTATTCTAAATTTATGTAAACAAACAAACTAGCAATTGAGGTTATCATGCATCCTCATTTCTTTGATTACAATTGAAAATTGGTAACAATCCCGAAGCAGAGAGTCGTAATTTTTTCCACTGACTTAACCTTAATTTAATTTTAGTGAAGTATTATGAGGGACAAACTTTAAAATAAAATTAGCTTAACTCTTAGCTGACATTCCGTACTGACGATATCACGTGGCGCGTAAATTCGAAGTACCTATGGAATACAAGAAATATCTTTAAGTTTCCAAGCAAGAATTTCTACCAAAAAATGTGTACGAAAAATAAATAAAATTGTACATCTATTTTGCAAAATGAAAAAATGTAATCCTGTTTCATTACAACAATACGTAAGGTGGACAAAATGTCTACCCATGGCAAATTGTATATGCATTTCAATAATTGTCTTTTGCATTTCTTTTCAGGGGGAACCCAATGAAGCGAGAATAGCTGTTGCTAATCAAAGGGCCCATCAACTACTAAAATAATGAGATTAAAAGACGACGAAAATATTCATCAACATTTGGGAAAAAAACATTCTGATTTGAGCGTGTGCTGCGAAACAAAATATTTTTTCATGTTTTCAACTCTCTTTGTGCTCTTATAGTTAAAACAGTTTTCTCATGCTGTGCAAATATAAGATAACAAACTTTTGCTAAAAGAATAACACTTTTCTTTGAACACTTTTATATATTTTTTTTATTTGGGTTTTACCAAATTTTAAAAGTTTTTCTTATGCTTTGCTCTTCAATTTTGGTCAAGCGAGCTGCCCTTGGTGAGTAGCTAAATATAATTGGAGCGATGAACACCTATCACTTTATTATAAGTGAATTCCATTGAATTAAACAGGTCAAGGCATAAAATTCAGACCTTTATTTTCAAAAAAGTGTTTAGAAAAATTATCTGTTACTTGATTTTGGAAAAGCTTATTACTACATTTGTTTCCATTGTTTTTATGTTAGAAATATTAGCTATCCCTGTCTTAGTCTACAAATTTTTACCCAATTAATAATAAGTGTTAAAAAATATCTTGTTTCGAATGTTCTGAATATGTGAAACTGTGGTAAAATTACTTTGAGTAGCTTATTAATGATATGAAATTTGAATTTAAAATTAATTCTTTATAATCAATAAAAGTATTTGGCTACAAACTTATTGCTAAATATTAAATTAACAAGATATTTAAAATTAATAAAAACTGTAATGCTAATACGCTACATAATTGTATGAACATAATTCATGTAGTATAAACTTGTATTATTGATAAAAAGCACAAAACTGTATAATATATTAAAACTATAATTATAACTTCAAAGTAAAAAAGATATATAATAACATGAGGTTTTATTAACATTTTTTGCTCACTTTAAAATGTTATTAATGCCTTTTAATTAGTCTTACGACAAATTTTAAGTTGAAATAGTAATGTGAACTGAAATAAATAATCGGCTTATAAAATATCTATATTTGTTGTGTTCTTTAACCGTTGGATCCCTTGCTCACAGTAAACTATTAATCCAAGAGGAATGCTTTGCATTCGGCTCGTTTGGCGTTCTCGTTAGCAATTCGCCTTTTCCTTCCCAATTTTCCTTACACACTTAATGCCTGTGTGGTATCTTTTTGGTTCGCTAAAAGAAAATGGATTGCATTCCAAAGGCGGTGAAAAGTGACAGAATACTTCATTTTTTTTTACCATAGTTTAAATTTTGCTGAAAATATGCGATAAAACCCCACAATTTGCTTGAATGCTCCGATGCTCCGTTCAAAAGTTATTTAAAACAAGAAAGAACGCTATAGTCGAATTTACCGAATATTAGAAACTCGAACTAAATACTTCCCTTACAAAACAATCAAAGTTCAGGTGGCACCACCTGTCAAACTGCAGCACCCCCAACGACCGCTAATAATTTTTTCGTTATGTCTCTTTACTGCAGTGAATACCGGCTAAGCAGCGCCCGAACAGCGGTAGAGGAGCGGCTGAGCGGCGGCAGAGAATTTAATAGCCCTATAACTTCTAAAACAACAGCTCGATTTTAAAATGTTTGTGTCTACTGATAAATGTGACCGGATCACACATACAGAGTCCAATATCCACAGTCTTACATGTCTCAGAATGACAGTACATACTTTTACCAATTGTGGACGTAAGAGTCGGCGTGGCTCCGTTTTGATATAAACTTGCGATGCGTGGGAATTAATAGAATCTGCATGCCAAGCCTCAAATCTCTTGCTTTAATAATTTCTGAGATCTCGACGTTCATACAGATGGACAGGCGGACAGACAGACAGACGGACATGGCTAGATCGACTCGGTTGATCCTGATCAAGAATATATATACTTTATAGGTTCGGAAACACTTCCTTCTACTTTTTACACAATTTTCATCGAATACAATACCCTTTTACTCTGCGAGTAACTTGTATAAATACTTTGTTTTGGAATATCTCAAAATCAAAATATTTCGGTGTCTGTTTGTCAGGTCAAGGTCGTTACAAGAGTTTGTTCTACGACTTTTTGAAAATCTAGCCAATTTAACGGTTAGTCGGCTAGAAATAGCTAAAGTTTGCACCCCCATAACTAGCTAGTAAAGTTACACATAAGCGCAATATATCGTTAAAAAATAAATTCAATGCTAATCACACTTTTATACATAGTTTTTACATTTAATTTTTTTTACACTTGTTGTCAAATTTTTTAAAAGCGGCTTTAACGTTTTTGTTTACAGGAAGGTCTTTTAAGCTAGGTAATGCGACATCTGTTTGACCCTTTGCGAATAAACTATCGTAACTATATACTATACTATCATAAAAGCCCTTGGCCTTAGCTCCATTGACTAAACCCGATGCAACGTCTAGATTTCGAAATAATTTTGCACCATTTTTTAGTTCAGTTTTCGAAAAATTATTTTTCTTTGTGGTTTTTCTAGAGACTTTGCTGCTTTATCTATTTTGCAATGAGCTTTTCGCTTCAATTTTTTTATTTCAGCTACGAGCAATACTTTTTCTGATTGCATTGGCTTAAATCATTGTTCCCTTGCTGGAAATATACAAGTTAACACCCAAAATAATACAATTCCCCAGACAGAAGAAAAGAGTAAGCATCGATTGCACAACAAACAACAAAGCAATGCCCTCAATAATACAATTTTTTAAATCGAAGAAGAGAACATTTATTGCACAACTAACTGCAAGGCAATGCACAATAAAGTTCAAACGAACTTAGCCACGTGTGCTGAGCTTGCATCTTTTGGTCAGCGATCGTGGGAATGCAGAATAGTCAATTTCCAAAGTTGATCGAACTCAACTAATTACAAGTAATAAAAACAATAATTAAAATGCACTGGCCAATTACAATTAAGTTTGGCCAACGGCGATGGCGACCAAAAGCAGCAACCAATAATATGAAAGAACGATCAGACGAAACATCAACCGCGGCAGAGACGGCGGCAGCGATGGAGCGACGCGTAGCTATAAAAAACAATTGTTTAACCTAAGTAAATTAGTTCTTAATCCAACGCAACAAGGAGAAGCTTGATTTATTTTTATATCAAAATCATAATCAATCTTTTAACTGGCGCCCGAACAGGGACCTGATTAAAAGCGCGAAAGGATAATAAGTTCCGCGTCTCACGAAGCTCAGAAAGTAAACAAACTCTGACGTTTCGTTTCGAACCTCCGCCCAATCAGTGAGAAGTGAAAAACAAAAGTTCCGAGACCCGGAAGCGCAAAAGTACCGTTTAAAAAAAACCGCAAATTGTCACTCCTGAAAAAAAACAGGACTTGTACACGGTGGAATAATCATACCAAATTTTATCGCCGTGATCCCTTTATTATCCGTTCCAAGCGAACGTGAATTAAGGTGCAGAGAAGGCCACTTAGGCTACTCAGGAGAGATCGTTGCAGCGTGGGATAAAACGTAGTCCGCCGAACCTGTCATCACGAGATGATGTAACTACTCTAAGAATAGTTTTAAGCGATATATTAAAAACAAAAACATAAAAATTATTTAATTGGAAAATATTTAAAGACCAAAAAAGTTTCACACAAATATAAAGTGTAGAAGACACATTTTAGTAACTAAAAAAGACCCAAATTATAGGGAACATAAAAATCCTCACACAATAATTAATAAAATCCCAAACCCTAATTCTTAGAAAAAACTTTAGAATTCTGAATAGCTAAAATTAAATGAATAAATTAATCTTTCGCTGCTCATATTTCCATACCCAAAATGAGCGAACAAGATTTGGCAGGCAGACTCGCGAGTCTTGCCGGACCCTCATCAGCCAGTAATACACAACTAAACCCAACAATCATGACCGAGAGGGATTGAGGAAAAAATAAAAGCAGTCTTAGAGACAAATCTCAGTAGTCTAGTAAAGGAAATACTTAATCCAAACAAAGATTTTTCCAAATATACAGATCAAACAATTAAAAGAGAATTAACGCACAATCTTAGTGAGTTAGATAAATAACCAGACATTGTTCGAACACTTAGAGACTTTTCGGGAAATGGGTTTTCAGGTTATGGGTTCGTTCCACCAAATTTATATTGGGTGATTGCCTTTGACCAATGAATAACGAAAGAGTTCTGTTGGGATCGTAACTGTCTTTATTCGTCTCCTTGCACAAGCCTCGCGGCTCTTCAGCTGCTGCTGCTCCTCGTCCCTCTATGCCCCGTCGCTGTCCTTTACTGCGTCGCTCCTCGTCGTCACTGCTTCCTGACTCGTGCGGCTCCTTCGAGACTTTGGATATTATGCGAACCTCACCATCGGGACCGGCAAGGTGTTTCGCCTAGCAGGTAGAACGAGGTTCTGCCTTTTCGCCTAGCCACCTTTTTCGCAGGCTCCCTAAGTTGGTCCGGATTGTGTCGGCAAGGTGTATCGCCTAGCAGGTAGAACTAGGTTCGACCTCTTCGTCCAGCCACCTTTATCGCTGACTCCACGCAAGGTCTCCCTGAGCTCGATTTAACCACGACCTAGCACCCTTTGGATCTCAGCGTTGAAGCCTCAGCCTTGTAGACTCTCAGTCGTTTGGCGTCTCGACTTTGCAATCTTGATCCTGGTACTCGCCACTTGATTAACTTGCTACTGGTCTCGCGTACACGCACTCGCTCTGATTCTCGCACTATTACTTCCCCTGTGTGCTGCGCTTGCGCTGCCTTTTATAGCCTGTGATGGTCCCGTTATTTCCCTTTTCCAGCTTGCGTGATCGGGTCCAAGGTCCACTGTCGCAGCGTTAGTTCACGGTGCGTCCTCTTTGTGCGGGTCCGAGTCCGCCAATTCGACCCTAATGCCCTTGCCGTGTGAGGGTCCAATGTCCATCGCGGTACCGTTAATTCACGGTGTCTCCGCTTTGCCCGGGTCCAAGGTCCGTTGTTTACCGTTTGACCTCGTTGCCCTTGACTCCTCCGGCATTCTTGCCTCCTTCACTGTTGCTGTGCAGCTCTCCTGCATCGGAATTTGTGGGGAGTTTTAAGACTGCTCACATTTCCCCCTTTCTTCGGAAATGTTGTTCATTCATTCAAATTCCCCTCCAAACTCGTTCTCCACGTGACCCCATACAGTTTCCCAAAAGACTTCAACTTACCCTGAGCTGCCCTCGTAAGACTCCCCCCAGACCGCGCTCTGAAAGACCTTTAACTTTCCCATGGCTGTGCTGCGTTAGCCTGTTCCCCAGACAGTTCCCCGAAAGACTTGACCTTTCCCATAACTGCATGTCGTTCCTTAGACAATTCCCCGCGTAGAATTTGAAATTCCCGCTCAGACATTTCCCCGTGTTTGAAATCACCACTCCGATTCCCGTCGTCTGGCCTTTCTACTGACCACGTCTCGATCTCACTTATCGTTGTTTGTAGTATTTTTGTACCCATCGATCGCAACTATTCTAGACCTCCCTTTCCCCCCTCCTTAATTCCTAACGACTTTTTTGTTTTGGAAAAACTGGTGAGTAAACCATGACCATGACCATGATGCCCCAGATGCCCCTGACCAGTCTCGGGGTGATGACCCTGGACCGCGTGCCCCGGGAGACCCTTGCGGCAGCAAGTGACCCCCCCTCGCCATACAACTGCGGCAGCCTCGTGTCTTCTGCTGACCCGCGTGCTTGGCCCGCGATCCGCCTCTCACCGCCCCCGTTCCGCGACGTCTCCGACGGTCCCTTCTCCAGACCCTCCTGGGTTTCGCGCTCCTCCTCGGGTGTCACCTTTAGTCCCTCGCGATCGGCCGTCTCCGCGACGCGTTTCGCCGACTTGGCTCTCGGAGCGCGCGGGTTCAACGGCGGTGGGCGTCGCCACTCGATGGCCTCCCGAATCCGGGCCTCCTCTGCTGCCTCCTCGGGCGCGGGCCTCGTCCATGTGACCGTCGGCGCGCTCCTCCCTCACCTCGTGCTCCACTTGTTGTTGGGTGTTACTGCTGCGTGCGCTCATGTTGATGATCTTTTTGGAAAGACCTGAGCCGTACAGC